GCCCTTCCAAGCATCGACCTAAGAATTGGTGGACCCCACCTATAACCTACAAGTCCCCCCCCCTTCTACATGTCCCGCCTTTTTGGGCCAGACCAATGGGAAATCTTTTAATTAAATGTTGTGTGTCAATCTCAGAAGCAAATAAAAGGAACCTCTGTACATGATCACCCCGAGGAAAGGCATGTATGCCTCACCTCCGGGCCTAGGTCACTCACAGTTGGCTTGGAAATAAACCGCATTAATGATTAATTTTACAGTTGGTTATATTTTTTCCGTCGACACCTCCATAACAAACGGGGCACTGTGTCAAACCCGAGGAGGAGAGGGGTGACAGGAGTCCCAGTGCACAGTTGGTTGGTCAGAGCACAGGTCAAACAGCCTGTGCTTGCTGTGGGCATGGGGTGGTGGGGAATCTTGGGGACTGAGTCCGGTAGGCTCTGACGCTATCCCCAGGCGATGTCAGACTGCACTGAGTTGGCGAACGCCCCGCTGCTATCTGCTGCAGAGCTGCTCCAGTGCCGGTGGGAGGGTCAGGGGTCCCCACCCATGTGGCCCTCACACAAGCAGCCTGTCTGGTGAGCGAGGAGTGGGAGTAACTGAGACTGAGAAGGTAGGTTTTGGTTTTTCCTGTTCAGCAGCCAACGTGCACTGAGCACAAATGACTTAGCAGGAGCCAGGGAGCTTGGGTGTCAGGGTCGTTCACCTGCACGAACCCCCACAGGACTGAGCTTGACTTCTTGCCATTGGGTGGGGTGGGAACCCCCCAAAGTCTCCCTCTGCTCCTGCCTGGGGGAGTCACTCTTTGGCCTGGGTGGGTGTGCTGGTGCTGGTGCTGGAGGCAGAGCCCAGGGGCTGGCCTCATGTGCACAGCCACCCAGGTCCCAGTCACAACCTGCCCTGGCTGTACCTTGTTGAGCCCTCAGGACTCTCCACCCTCTGCTCCAAGAAGAAGCCGAGCTACACATTGGCCTGCTCCCTGCTCTTGGGTCATTATGACCCAGGACTCACAGCCAACCCAGGTCCCCAACCACCACCACTGATCCAGGACCCAGGACCAACCACCTGCCCCACTGTGCTGAGTGTCAAAGGCTGAGGTCACCAGGGGTCTGCCTTGGGCCACCTGCACAAGAAACTATCAAAACATTGGGACCAGCAGTTGGCGTAATGGCTGTGTCGCTGGACTCCCATGTAGTGGACCACGGTTCGAGTTCCAGACCCTGTGGCTTAAACTCATGCCGGGTGCGTGTGCGTGCCCAAGGTCCCAAGGAGAATGGAGAAGGGACTGCGGTGTGGCCATCCCCACTGGGGGGGTGATTTCTTGCTTTCTGTCTCTCTCTCGTTTTTCTGGTGAGTGCTAAAGAAAAACCCCCTCAAAAAAAAAAAAAAAAAGCATTGATAGGCATGGCATCCCCCACGGCCAGTCACGAGGCTGAAGGAAACTCTTCTAAACTCTCAAGAATAAAAAGCAACAATTGATTAACAACACTAGAAGCAAAATCAATTTAGCTTTCTCTACTGAAAATGGTACCAGAATATCACTCTCAGATAAAGAGGCAATCAAAGATTATAGACCTGTGTGGGCTAGCCCCGTAGCCCAGTAGTTAAGCCCTGTGAACTGGGTGTTGGAGCCACATGGGAGACTGCAGTTCAAATCCTGGCCCCTGGACCTTGAAACACACACCAGGCATGTTGAAAATTCTGTATACAGAAATGGAGGAAATTACCTGGGAATGTCCACACCCAGGGGATGTTTTCTCTCTCACTAACAAGAGCACGTGTCCTCTGGCAATGGAAAAAAAATGATAGGTGTATGTGGCAGCTAAGGAATACCACTCATTTTCATATTTCTCCATCATTTTATTATTATGCTGTGCTATGGCTTGGATATTAGTTTGTCCCTCCAAGGTTCATGTTTGGAATTGGGTCCCCATTGTGAAGGTGTTGGTTGGTGGTGAGACCTTTAAGAGAAGAGATCTCATGGGCAGGAGTTGGGATCATGGAGGAATAACCTCATGAATGAGCTAGTGCTGTCTCACAGGACAGGTGACTTCTTGCTCTTAAGAGAACGGGCTGGGGGGCGGCAGGTGATGTGGTGAAGGGCGCTGGACTCCCATATGGCCGAACACCTATGGTGGTATTTGGTTTAAGTCCAGACCACGCTCTCTGCCTCCCAGGTCCAGCTCTTGGCACTGGGCTGGCACTAGGGTACAGAGGGTGAGTGACTTATCCTAAAACTTCTCTTTTAAAAATGTTATTTATTTATTATTATTTAATTTGCTATAGGGCACATGTGCTCACCAGAGAGAGAAAGTGAGAAAGCAAGCCGCTAGGTCCAGGACTTGAACCACGGTCAGCACTGTGGGAGTCCAACACCTTAACCAACATGCCACCTGCTGCCCCCCCCCCGCAAAGCCTCTCTAAACTGGAGGGCCTTCTAAGGAAATGCTCCCTATCAAAAGAAATATGGTTTAATTCATAGAGGAAAAACCGTGCTTGGAAGGCTCTGTCCCGTGCTGGTTTTCATTATAAGGGTCAGAGTGAAATGGAAGACAGATGCCGTAAGCCGGGAGACAGGCCCAGACGAAATAGACGGCTAAGTGTCGCTCCAGCTATCGCAGACGAACAACCTGCTCTCTGAGTACACTGCAGCGCCATTCCATAAACCCCCCTCGGAAAATCTAAAGCCCTCACCCAGCCAGCTCTTTCTTGCTGCCCGTCTCAGAAAACACCATGCCAGGCTTTTTAAGAGAACCAAAGTCCGAGAAACGGAAGACGCCACTGCTCTGAGAGGGAGGCTTCTGTATCCACCCCATGTTACCCCAGGCCCCAAGACTCACCCCCCTGCCCTGCGTTGTCACCTGGAATCCTGCAGAACAAACTCCAGGCCGCGGCCCTGAGGTCCTGCTGCTGGAAGCAAAACCAAGCAGAACTTCAGTGTGTCTCGAAGCCAGCACCCCCAGCCCCCAGCTCCCACTTTCAGACTCACTGCTGGGGAGAGGACTTTGTCCTCTTCCAGGACTACACTGGAGACCAGCAAGGGGCTCGGGGGACAGGGAGGACCCTTCCTGGAGGACCCACATGGCCTTTTTCCCAGTGACCCTAGCATAGCAGCAGCAAATCATTTAAACTTCCCACATACCTCATGGTCTGCTCCTTCCTCCCCGGAGCAAAAGGCAAACAACACGATTCTAGTGAGCTCCGTTCTGCAGAAGGAGGCCCGGCTCAGAGGAAGGGAAGGTGCTGCGTTCCAGCTCCTGTCAAAAGAATAAACAGCTGTTTCAGGAAGAGGGGGGTAGACAGCTCCTCGCAGCCAGGGGCTCTGTTCCTGCAGGCCCTGGGAAACGGGCTGTTTATCAGGCCCATTGGCTCGGAGCTACATGCCAAGGCAGAAACAGTTCTCTCTGGGCCCAGGAACAGCCAGCCTCCCTTGCCAACTGAAACCACAGTCCCAACTGGGGCTAGTGTCAGAGGAGGGAAGGCCACCATCCCAGAGGGCGGAGATGCAGGCCACCCACATGATCCACTCCTGGGCAAAAATGGGAACCGTGCTGGGCCCAGACAACCTCAAATGACTGCTCCCAGGAATGACCAATGGAGAAGTTAAAAAAAAGAAAGAAAAGAACACACACACACACACACCACAGGGTTGGGTAAAAGACTCTCGAGAATCCTCAAGATTCTTGTAGAAATTCTACCTAAATGTTCCCCAAAGTTAAGCCCCTCCTCTATATTCCTCAGGTTTTGGAAGTTGTTCTGTTTAGTTTGAACATTGTATTTTTACAGACTGTTATGCGATCTCTCGTATCACAAATCCTACTCTATGAACTTTAAAAGGTCACAGTGGCCCGGCCCCGCTCTTTGGCTGAATAACGCTTAACCCTTCCCACGTCCACCTCCTGCTCCCGAAATAGAATCTTCCAGCTGGCAATGACCTTAGACAGTGAATTTTCAAACAGGCAAAACAGCTACAACTTTTTCAAGAAGGAAATGAAGTCATTCTCAGAACCCCCACGACACGGCATAAAACAGAGGATGTGGAGGGCTGAAGCAGGGAACAGGCACTTGGAGAACACCCTCCCCACCCTGACACGGCCGAGACACCCCTGGGGAGTACCATCTGGAAAGCCCAGGTCAAGAGAGAGGACGAAAGCCAGACAGAAAGGAGTCTCTGGGTCTCTCAGTGATGCCTGATCCAGCCCCTTCTTCCTGTTTCCAAAGGAAATGTCACAGCTTCCTCCTGTGCAGGCACGAGCTGGTTGGCCACAGCCTTTAGGGTCTGGAAGCTCTTTCTGACGATTTGCTTAAATCCTTCCTGCTGGTATTTACCCAAGCTGAACAAATGCGTACGGGACCACCCGTCACTCTGCTGCCAGCTCTAGACCCAAAGAGTTTCCATCCGTTCACCAGGAGACATGTCAGAACATTGCCAGCACACCCTCCACAGGACACGCCCTCATCTTAGATCGTATCTGGGGCAGTGGGAATAACAAGCCACCACTGCTCACATCAGCAGTGACAAACGGTACACGCAGCATTGAGTGGAAGACCTCTGGCACAAAACAATACACACTGGATGGTTCTGTTTCTCTCTCTCTTTTTAAATTAATTAACTAGTTAATTAAAGTCTTTTTTGAGAAGTTTTTGCTATAGGGTGCATGTGCTCACCAAAAAGACAGAGACAGAGAGACAGAGAGACAGAAAGCGAGAAATCACTCTCCAGGGGGAATGGCCATGCCTAAATCCTTTCTCCTCCATTCTCCTCTTGGGATCTTGGGCTCGCACGCACACATGCCCGGCGTGAGTTTTAAGCCACCAGGTCCAGGACTCAAACAGTGGTCGACTACATAAGAGTCCAGCAACATAGCCATTACGCCAACTGCTGGTCCCTATTTCGTTTTTTCAAAATGTTTTTAAAAATCTGCTACAGGGTATGTGCACTAACTGGAGTGAGAGAGGGATTTAGGCACACACATATGCATCACCCAGTGTATTTTCCAAGCTGCCAGGTCCAGGACTTGAACCAGGCAGTTGGCCAGGTGGGATCCAGCACCTTAATCACTGCATCGTTTGGCTAGCTAGCTCTCATTATCTGTTCTGTTAAGTTTATTTATTTATCTCTTCTTTGAGTAGGAGAGACAAACACAGAGACATAGATCCTGAACAGGATCCTCACACTGTGAGTCACCCCCAGCTTTAGCCAGCTCTGGATCATCGGCATGCACACGCCCGGTGTGTCAGGGAGGTTTCTATACGTGAGCCTGGAACCTCCCCGCATGGGGCAGCCTCACAGGGCATTGTGACCACTGTACCACCATCCGGGTCCTTTCCCTGCCATTTTCACCCAAGAACACAGACTCTGAGAGTCACCGCTGGGACGTTTCCCTGACAGGGGTAGGGCGGCTACTCCTACTCAGGTGCCTCCAGGGAACACTCTATAGACCAGCAGAAATGCGACTCTCCTCCTTCCCTGAGAAGTTTCCATCCTGGAACTCTGAGTACAAGGAGCACTCAGCTGTGGGCACTCCTTCATAGAGAGGCAGAGAACCTGAGCAAATGACCCACAGGCCCAGGAGCCCTGCCAATGGAAGTTGGGCAGAGGCTGCCCCGGTTAGAGCATGGCCCAGTGCCCTAACCTACGTTGACCAATTTAGAAGGGGCGGCAGCTCAGGTACAAGGGACCCTGGCTCCACATCCTGATCACTTCCCGATGAGAAACAGGAAGGTCAAGATCCCTACCCTCCTTACCTCTGTGGGGGCACGAGGATTAAGTGTTCTTGGCAAGAAGCCCTACAGACACAAAGGCTTCAGGATATCATATTTGCTTAATCCTCACTGTGTTTAGGGAGATCACGAAAGGCATGCTTACCAACGTTTACAAGTGATAAGGCGACTTGCTGGAGTCCTGCTCTGGGTATTGGGGAAATCATCATTCCCACCTCTCGGGAGTGTTTGAGTCTGGAGAGCATGATGGTCATGACCAGCCTCGGGCTTGACTGCCTGCCGTGAGGCCTGGCTCTGCCCCTTATGCTGCGTCATCCTGGCCAATTTACTTACCTTCTCTGTGCCTCTGTTTCTGCATCTATAGAATGGGAATAATACCACTTGGATGGCAGCTGGCACGTGGTAAGTACTCTATACATGATACCCATTACTGCCAGAGTTGAAGGAAACGTTGCGGGCCAGCCCATGGTGTGGGTTAAGGCAGCTAGATTCTACATGGCTGGCTGCACAGCTCCAGGCCTGGACCAGGCAGCTTGAGAAACATGCTGGGCCTGTGTGCATGCGTGCCCAAAATTCCAAAAGGAGGGAGACATGAAGAAAGGATTGAGGCATAATTGTCCCCCCCATGGGGGTTACTTTCTCTGTGTGTGTATGTCTCTTTCTCCGGTGAACACTCATTTTTTTTTTTTTTAAGGAAATATTTCTGGAAAGAACTCAGCATAGTGTCTCAAACTGTTCAGTTACCAGGCTCTGGTGTTCGATTAATCCAATGGTGTCATTCACTCAATTTTGCATTTGTTCATCCAGTTGCTCCAGATGCAGATGGAGGCTGCTTCCCGCCTGTGCTTAAAGGGCAAGAAGGTTGGCCCATGGCCTGATGGTTAAGAAAGCCAGATCCCATATGGCTGACCATGGTTCAAATCCCAGCCACGGCAGATCGAAAAACACCCTGGGCACATGTGCAAGCTCAAATTTCTGACTGGATGGAAGAATGGAGAAGGGACTGCAACGTATCTATGCCCCATGGAAAGGGGGGTGCTTCCTCCCTCTCCCTCTCTCTGGTGAGTGTGTGTACTCTCTTAAAAATAATAATAATAATAATAATAATAATAATAGGGACCAGCAGTTGGTGTAGTGGCTATGTCGCTGGATGCTCACGTGGCCGACCATGGTGTAGTGGCTATGTCGCTGGATGCTCACGTAGTCGACCATGATCAACTACCGGACCCGGTGGCTTAAAACTCATGCCGGGGGCGTGTGCATGTGCGTGCATGCCCAAGTTCCCAAAAGGAGAATGGAGGAGAAGGGATTGCGGCGTGGCCATCCCCGTTGGGGAGTGATTTCTTGCTTTCTGTCTCTCTGTCTCTCTCTTTCTTTCTGGTGAGTGCATGTGCCCTATAGCAAAAACCTCTAAAAAAATAAATAAATAAATAAAAAGGCAAGAGACAAACATGGGCAGGTCTAAGTTCGGGGAACAAAACGGGGGCCAGAAGTTGCAAAATTCTACTCTAGAGCAGCTAAGCGTGGAGGGCACAGTGTGGAGATGGGAGGCATAAGTGAGGGCCACACAGAATCTTAGCTCAGATGTGCACTGCATGCTCAAGGCCTCAGGGACTCCTGAAGTGGTGTTAGGCAAAGGACATGCTTTCCTTTTTTGGGCATTCAGCTGCAGGGTGGGTGGGTCTCCGGGAAGGAAACTTTCAGCCAGGGAGACCAGCCCAGAAGCTACCAGCAACAGACCTGGAGTAAGAGTAAAGACCTCCTGAACTCTTTCAGGACTGAGCAGAAGACAGGAGAGTGGAGCTCTGAGAGAAATGAAGGAAGTGGCATCTCGTGACCTTCGGTTCTGCGAAATAAATTCTCTTTCAAACTGCTTAAATGTCACCTTCTTGGCGAGTCTTTTCAAACCTGAAATAATTTTTTTCTTTTTTTTGCAGTTTACTTATCTTTTTTTTTTTTTAAATAGACCATAGTTTAGTTTATTTTTAACACCCATCATGCCACAAATTCATAGGGAATAGGTTCCAGTGGCTCAGGCTCCTTTCCATTGGTTCTCACAAAGTGTGCTTCTCTGGGTGGAGCAGGATGGCGCTTCACTTGAACCCCGGTATCTTTCTCCTTGGCTTCCTTCTTTTTCTGGTCATTTTCCTTCACATGTTTTAGGAAGCTATCTCTACTCTTAGTATGCCTGAACCAGCAGTGGCATGGTGGTTAAGGTATTGAACTCCCACATGGCCTGCCACGGTTCAAGTCCTAGACCTGATGGCTTGCTTTCTCACTTTCTCTCTCTCTTTCTATTGAGCATACTTGCCCTGTAGCAAAATTATAATAATAATAAATAATAAAATTAAATAAGCAATATTTTTTTGAGAGTTTTTTGCTACAGGGCACGTGCTCTCGCCAGAAAGACAGACAGAGACATAGAGACAGAAAGTGAGAAATCACCCCCTAGGGTGGACGGCCACGCCGCAATCCCTTCTCCTCCATTTTCCTCTTGGGATTTTGGGCATGCAAGCACGCTGCATGCACATGCACCTGGCATGATTTTCAAGCTGCTAGGTCCAGGACTCAACTCATGCAGTCGGCCATGGAGGATCCAGCACCTTAGTCTCCATGCCACCTGCTGGCCCAGTGCTAACTGTTTTTAAAAGGCTGGGCAATAATAATGATGACAGTGAGCAACAGCTGGCAGGAAGGGAGATGGACAAACCCAGCACTGAGCTCTCACAGTGTGGACGACGAACACTGAACACCGCAGGGGCAGGTTCTGGTGGACGACGAACACTGAACACCGCAGGGTCAGCTTCTGGGAGCTTGACAGAAAAGCAGCCACTGGCAGCATCCCAGCCAGCCCTCTGCATCCCAGTGTCCCTCTGGGATCCAGGAGGCTGTCCGAACAAGGTCTCCAGATATCCCAGAGCTCACTAAGGTTTGCCAAACTCTGCTCTGAGCTGACTCACAGGTTTCTAGTCGGAGTAGATGTGGATGTCGCTGGGGACTGAGGAGCCGTTTAAGGGGCTGCGATTTGAGGGAGCTGGGGAGTGCCGTTCTATGTGTGAATTTGAGGAACCTGTTGAGGACAGAGCTCAGCTGGAGTCTAGGGGAAACAAGGCAAGTCAGAGCAGGCAGGTCCGCTGTGCAGAGAGGAGAACAGAGGCCACAGTGGGGTGTCCTGAGTTGGCCCTGCCCGGAGGTCTGAGGGGCACAACCCAAGAGGCGAGAGGTGAACGAGGGACATTGGTGTCAGGAACGTCAGGACACGCCAAGTGCTGCTAAGATGAGAGGGCTGCAGCCGCGCGTGACATCCAGTCTAGTCCCAGTGGGCCTCCGCCCTCAGCCTCTCTGGAAGAGAGAATAAAGCCAAAGGTGTGGCGGGGCAGGGTGCAGCTGTCTGAGAACCCTAAGGGGTGCCAGGCAAACAGGAGTGGCTGCAAACCTGTGCTGCACAGAAGAGGGGCCCAGCAGCGGTGGGGA